CGACAAGGACGCCAAGGCACTGAACTTTTGCACCACAATGTCCTGAAACGAGTCAATGACTTTTTGCGCCGTGCTGTCGAACTGCGCTTCAAACTCGGCGTGCTCGGCGGCGGCCGTGAGACAGTAAACGGTGAGAGACACACCAAGGGCTGCCAGAAAGAGAATCAAAAAGACCACGAGACGTTGCTTGAAGACCGCAGCGCTTTCATCGCCTCCAATCTCATGCTTGTTATCGCTAGGATCTTCGGTAGAAGTTTCAGTGGCACCGGTCGTGGCATCCAGGTCGTCCGACACGAGAGATGCAAGAGAGTCATCGTCATCGTCATCGTCATTGTCATTGTCATTGTCGTCTACCTTCTTATTGGGTTTCACGTACGAATCCACGTCAACCTCATTCACAATCTCGTCGTCCTCGAAACCTGTGTGTGTGTTCGCCATGGTGGTGGTGCTGAAATATATAGTTGGGTTTGGTATTAGCTGGCTACCGGTAGGAGAAATAATGTGAGAGAATGTTTCTTTGTGTCTCTGCTCTTCAATCTGTGCACTGCACCCAAAAATCTTTCTGCGCGATTGAGCACAAAGACTTATGACTGCGAAAATCGTATGACTGTCTGAGATGCCCGACCTGATGCCTGCATAGACATTGAGAATTATTGAATTAATGTGCATTCGCATTCGCATTGTTGTATGGTAATGAAGTGTACGGCTGTAGGATTCTCATTCCTGCGCTATTATTTAAAGACTTAAAATACAAAAGCGGTAGAAGTAGACGAGTCATACAAAGGAAACATCTTACTTAGAAGACTAAGATTGTGTTCAAGCCTTGACGAACCGGTAGGACTGGTCATTGACGACCATAAGATCACACTGATCACAGTGTTCAGTATTGTCGCAATGATGACCCTGGAGTACTGTACCGAGTACAGTAGTTTTGTCTTTTAAATCCAAGTCATAAAAACAAGGATCAGATCTTTAAGACTCCAGTTGCATTTTCTGAAGCAGGCCATTCGATTCCATTCCATGTGACTCGATTCAGAAGGCTTCAAGAATTGTTGCATTTATTTATACAGTACTGATAACAGTATTCAAGAAATTTCAAGAAACTGGCCAGCTGCTAGCCAGCCTTTGCTCACTCGTGCATCGACATTCGTCTCCTTCCATCGCCCCTGCTTACAGAATTCTACCTAAACCTCCACTTGCCAGCTTGCCAGTTTCCTTTCGGCTACAATGACATACATGACATTGTGCTCTACCTAACCGGCTTAATCATAGAGGGTAAAACGCGGGACATCTACTAGCTAGACTACCTGGTCGGACGCAGCAATGCAACAAGCAAGTTTTACCACCAAAACTACCAAAACTCAGTTCTCATACATGTACTCTCTAATAAATGCTGTTCATCATGCAGAATCCCATCTCAATTGCCCTTGTGAAGCAAAGCTACATGTCTCCATGGATGGCAAAGCCAAAACCTTTGGCCGGCGTACCGGTATGTAATAATGGCCCTCAATTTCTCACCCCTTCCGTAGATAATCTACCGTACTACCAGTACTCTAAACCACCATAGTACAGGCAACAGGCAGATAAAGACTTTTAGTGCGAGCTGGTGGCATCGAAAGCGGTCCTACAAGGCTCCGAGGTGCGAGGTTCAAAGCCAGGACAGCGGGTAGGATGAACAAGGTCTCGACCAGAAGACCAACCAAGCACCCCCCCCCAAAGAATGATGATGATGCATTGCTGCTGCTGTGCGAGCTTTTCTGCCACGCACTGTTGCTCTTTGTCCCGTCCATGGCGTGTGTGGTTTGGATTCATTCATTGTTTATCCTACAGTAGTACCGGTACTAACAAGATAGGCATCCTGGCCCACAGTTTTGCCAGTCTCCCGCACAGGAAGTTTCCCCAGCCAGCCAATCAAGTTCTGAACATCCAGCCACTACTGTAGTAGATCTCTGGCTGTACAGTACGGTAGTCCTCTGGGTAATCTGCTGGGTGCATAAATTAAATAAAATTGACCTTCAAAGTGATGAATGAGGACTACGATTCCCAAAAGAAGCGAATTGGATCCGTGTCGACCTTGCGTAGGTGCTGGCTGACTGGCGGCGGATAGTCTGCTGCATTGCCCCACATCCTTGTGGGGGCATTAATTTTGTACTCATGCTCTTCTGTCTCTTGCTCTCCACCAGCCACACCGAGGGCAGTGAGTGGTCGTCGTAGCTACTTGGGGTCATCTCGATGGACACACTTGCCACATGGTGGACTTGGCTTATATGGGCTTCATGATGTCTGTTGACAGCACGGCCATGGGAGGTCAGGTCCAGTCCACCAGGTCTGGAGTGTCTTCATCCCAGAGTGTGTTCCGCTTTACCAACTGTTGTCTATGGCCCGGGTTGAATTGGCTCGGTTAGGATTTCTATCCACGACTCGACTCGTAACTCAGAGATTTATGGCCTGCACCACTCGATGAATCTTGATACGGTAGGGTGAAGGATACGTGTGCAGGAAATCGATAGGCTCATTACCGAAACTGACGTCCAAAACAGGCAGAGGTTGACACCACCACACACACACGAGTTCTTTGAGATCTTCCTGTGACAACAAGAAAGCTTGCTAACCACTGCCACTGTTTCCTGTATCATTCGACCTTTGGTTTCAGACTGTAATAGTCTAATTGAATTACTTAATTTTTTTGGATGACAATGGCAAACGAAAACGCCAGAGCAAACTGCTGGTACCCAATTATTATTATTTCTGAGATGATGCCCACTTCCAACAACACCACAAGACCCACTAATACTTGTGTTCCAAGCCACAGAATAATGGGCGAGGCAAGTCGGGAGCATTTCCACGGCTCAAGACAGCTTGACAAGAGGAAAAGACGGTCCAGATCTTTTGTATCCACTTGTGCTGGTACCATCCAGTTTCTCCAATTTTGTTTCTTTCTGGTTGTGACCCATCCCAAGTTCTGCCATGGCTTTGTGGCTTCTACCAATCCCCACGATCAGTACACCCAGAGATCCACAAGAGTCTTATTTGTGGCTTCCAAACCTCCTCCCCTATCCACTACTACTAGTAGTGATACTAGTACTAGTACTGATACTGATACCCAAGTGGAATATTTCCAGTCTCTGACCGTCAAGGAACTCAAGCAACTCGTCAAAGAACAATCTACACTAGAACGAGGAGTCTTGTCCAAACTCAAGAAAAAACAAGATTTTATTGATTATCTCATGATACAACAATCACAACAACAACAACCACAGCAATCACAACCTTCAGAAGATGATGGCAATACTAATGATGAAATAATACTTCCAGCCAGTGACCTGATACAGAAACTCATGGACCAAGCATTGGCCATTACAGAGCAACTGGAACTTGTACAAGGGGATGAAGACAAAGAACTGGAACTCATGGAGCAACTAGAAGCATTGGAAGAGCAAGTCGAACAACTGGAAACCAAACAATCCACACAAAATCAACAAGATGAAGAAGATGATGAATTTGATGAGGATGAGGAGGAAGAAGAAGAAGAAGAATATGATGATGAGGAAGCTGAATATGATGAGGAGGATGCTGATGACGAAGACTTGGATGAAGAGGAGGATGATGAGGAAGATGACACTTCCAGTCCAACTGCATCCATGCATAGGACCAAACCGTCAGGCGGTCCACTGAAAATGCCAGCATTTACCCGGGATGATGAAGAAGAAATTGTTACTGTGCATGAAGAGCACAAAAATGCAGACAGCGTGATGAAAGTAAATGGGAGTACCACAAATAACAATGGTGCCGTCGAGCCAACCAAATCAATCAACGACAACAATAACCACATGAGTGGCCACAGGAAGAAAACCCAAGTGATGGAACAATTGTTTCAGCGATATCCTCCTCTTCGAGAACAATATGACGCGCAACAGCAGGAAGCTGAACGACAAGCATCTGACAATGATGATGATAACAACAATGACAGCAACAGCAACAGCGGTTCCGACGAGGACATGCGACAATTACACCATCCCATTTTTCAAAGCACCAAACACGTCGCCAGCTCGGATATGGACATTGTTTTTGTCGGTACGGCCAGTTGTACTCCGGGTGTCACACGAGGCGTTTCGTGTACCGCTCTACGATTGAATTGGTCACGACGAGGGGTGTTTAAAGAAGATCCCAATGCTCATGCCAAGAGCGAATTTCGGGGTGGAACTTGGTTGTTTGACGTGGGAGAATGCACCCAACTTTCCGTCCAACGAACGTCATCGGTCAAACCCAGCAAAATCACCAAAATATTCTTGACGCATGCCCACGGCGATCATACATTTGGATTGCCCGGTCTCTTGTGTTTGATGGGACAGGATCGGGCCAGTCCTAACAATGCCAATGTGCAACAACAAGAAGAACCACGCGTGGTGGATATTTACGGTCCACAAGGATTGCGCAAGTGGTTGCGGGTGGCCATTCGGTATTCCGTCAGTCGCATCGTTCCGCCCTATCGGGTACACGAACTCCACAATGTACCCATGGCACCCGAATGGCAGTGGAATTCACGGGCATCGCGGTTTTACTACAATTTGAAACACAACAACAATCGCGGCGGCAGTAGTAGTAGAAAGCCGTGGGGGAGTCAAGGATTGGCCGGAGAAGATCCTCAAAATTGGATATCGCAGGCCGACCGGATTGCATTGGAGCCGTCCACGCAATATGGAGAAGTCCAAGGAGGAAGGTGAGTTACTTCTTGACTTCTTGAATTGGGCAAGCAACCTCATCATCAAAAGGACTATGAGTTCTGTTGGATGCGTGTTGTTGTTGTGTTTGTATGATGATACTCACTGATTCGATTATTGGTTCCTTGATCGTTGTCGCTCGCTCCCACAGAGACATTTATCCCATCTATGGTCACCCTCTATCGACCGACGGTGCTCCAGTGTGGGAGGTGGAAGATGAAGGAGACGTGAAAATACATGCTGCACCCATGTCGCATGGGATTCCGTGTGTAGGTTACGTGGTCGAAGAAGCTAGTAGACCCGGTCGCTTGCGCAATGAAATCGTCGAGCCAATGGTTCGCAGAAATGTCAAGGCCCTCAAAGAAGCGGGCTTTAACATTCCCATGAAAGCCATGGCCGTCATCAAAAACTTGCCGGTGGGGTCCGCCTTTACATTTCCCGATGGGACCAGCATTAGTCAGGAAGAAGCTGTCGAGGCTCCACGGAAAGGACGCAAGGTCGTGATTTGCGGCGACACGGCCAGTAGTCGGTCATTGGAAAAGCTGGCACAGGATTGCGATGTCCTGGTACACGAATCCACGAATGCCTATCTGAAAGGAATTGATCGAGACACCAATCTGCGTATGGTCACTCGTGATGCTGTCATTCATGGTCATTCGACTCCCGAAATAGCTGGTTTGTTTGCCAAACGAGTTGGCGCCAAGCGCCTGTTGTTGAACCATTTCAGCGCCCGCTACAAGGGTGACCCGTCACTGGATAGCATGTCCATCATGACGCGCATAGAACAAGGGGCCATGGCAGCGAGCGGCTTGAATGAGACCAACGTGGCAGCAGCTTGGGATCTTATGCTACTGCCAATCCCGGCTCACCAGCAATGAGACGAGCAATGATGATTGCTTGGTTGGTGGATCATTCAGTCTGGCGGACGCACCATGGTTTGAATTTGCCGAACAAACATTGCGGCAGTTTGGATCTTATGCGACTCCCCACCAGAGCCAATCAACAAGGAGACATGCCGGGACGATTTGCCTGATTGATCCGGTCCGCTGGACGCAACCAGTGAAACAGCGTCCATCGCACAGTAGACCTAGCATTCAACGGGCACCCGCTAGAAATCGGAGGACAGGAAACGCGGCCACCCAACTACTTTACTGTAGCAAGGGGATGATTATGCTACTTTTGGTAGGTAACAAGAGATTGAGTGAGGCGAGAAAGCTGAAGCGCTATCATGAAAGAACCTGGATAGGCTAGACTTGCAAGCTGCGATATTTCTTCAAACTTTTGCTTAGCATGATTATTGAAAGTTATGGATCATGGATTTGATCTATAGCTCTTGTTTATAACAGATGATTCTTGAGCGGAGACGCAAAGAGGGTTTTGTAGTGTCGCGCGGTCGATTTGTACGTTGACGGTGGATGGAAGAATTGGAAAGATATATCAAAGCATTGGAACTGGAGTACCAGCACAGAGAGCAATCCTTGTGCCATCCATCCAACATCGTCGTACATGTAGCTAGTGGGACAGAAATCTGCAGCCCAACGGGTACCGGTATAGGCAACTTCCACACCACCCTGCTTCCATTGATCACCGACCGTGACCTCAGTGGGGCCAGACCCAATCGGCAAACATCTTCCACTGGGCAAAGGCAAGGCACAACCAAATCTTGCTGTACAGAGCCACATCCACACGAGACGTTGCCAATTGGACCTGGATCTCAGCACAATGAGGATGAAGGCAGAACAGGGAGCCAATGCAATCTCTTTTACAACCCAGGGATCCGAAAGGGCCTCGAAGACCGCTCAAAGTGTTGGTGAAAATGTTCGAACACAGGGAACGATATCCATGTCAATCTTCAATCCAGGAGGCGATAGAGCAGGAGACAATGGCATTCGGTCTTCATTGGGTATGGCCCACAGAGGTGAGGTGGTGGAGGCCCTGAAATGCATCACTCCAAGAATGAAAGACCAACATGACCTTGACTGAGTCACCACTTGAATAGACCGCTGGAAGTATTGGTGTAGGGCTCCAGCACAAAAAGGTGCTGAACGCGGGAGAAGAGATGGAAGTCTTTGGCCCCTGCCTCCTCTGAATAACTGTAGCGTCAACCTCCAATGGCGCAACAAAACTCAATCACGGAGACCCTCATGGGCAAACACTTCTGGGCTTCCTTTTTGTTGCATTTTGGTCGCAAGGGCAAACAATTCTGAGCTCCCATCTTGTGAGATATTAGTCGTGTACAGTAGTACCGAGTGAAAATCTGCTGGTAAGTCTGCTGGTAAGTCTCCTCGACTGCGTCCGTCTTGAGTTGGCGGTCCGTCTTGAGTCGGCGGTCCGTCTCGAGTCGACGGTGCTCAAACTTCTTTGCGAATTCTGGTGCGGAATTGCGCTCACTGCTCGAAGGAGTTCTCCAACAGGGGTCGCTTCTGCTTTCGCAAACACAAGTTCCCCAAATACCACGGCAACCACCACCAGATCATTTATCCATATAATGGCAGTCCTGAGGAAAAAGCTGGTGTTTGGGTCGGTGCCAACAAGAAGCAGCACGGGTATTCCAATCACAAATGTCTGTAGATTCATGACCATAGCAACTGAAGTACCATGTGCTCCACTCAATTCTGCTGGGTATTTTCTCGACAAGTAGCACATGAAAGATCCCACGGCAAGCAGAATGAAGTGAAAGGTGCAAATAGCACCAATGAACCACTTCCAATGTTTGGAGTGGCAGTATCCCTCGCTCTCCAGGGCTGTTCCAAATTTGTCCTGTAGGACCACCGAACGCTTCCAAGACATGGGGTCTACAACCTGCCAAGTGGAAAGAATGGCCATGTCGACGACCAGGACCAGAGCAATCCATCGAATGGCCGATAACGTTGTGACTTTGACTTTGCGCATTTGTGTGGCATTTAGTACGATCTTTTGGACGCGATAGATCCGAGCAAAGAGCGTTCCAAACGTCACCGAGAACCCAACTGAGTAGAGCCATGGGATAAGCATGCAATGATGTACCGTTTGTCCGGGCGCAGCTTCCTGCATCATTGCCACTATTGTTGAGGAACTGATGATGCAGCCCACGAGAATGAGGGCCAGCAGAGCAGGCTGCGCCATTACCACTCGTGGACGAGCCCGGTTGCGATGCAGCCATACAGCACAGGCTAAGACCACTCCAACATTGATCGCAAACATGCAATACCCCAGAACTAATTGGTAGGAAGGGATCAATCCAGGATCATGCGAGACCTCGCTAGCGCAATCCACGCCCGTATATTGTATCGAATTGCAGATGCATTTTCCGTGCCGATCAGCCCGACCGTGTGTTGGATGGCAGTAGTCTTGACAGTCTTGTCCTGCATACCCCAACGGACACTGTTGGTAGGTGAAATATCTATTGTAGATCCGCTCCACCTCGCTCTCCGCCACCGCAATGTAGATCCATTGTTTTATCATGTGTCGTATGGATGGATCCAAATCGTACCGCAAGGGCCACGTAACAAAGTTGCGCTGGATTTGTTCTTGCGTCTCGATGAGTGTTGGGTCCAGCAAGGCATCGTATTTCAAGTATATGGCCCGGCCCACGCGGAGGTCACATTGGCCAGCTTTGAGCATTTCAATACATTCACGGGTACTATCCGTGCCGCCACTCTGGCACTCTATAAAAGTCAAATTGGGGTAGAGGGCATGGACCAGGGACTTTCGCTGGATGAATTGGGTACAAACGGTGCCATTTGCCTGCATCACACTGTCAAAGCTGGAGAGGCCTGCTGCTCCATTTTCATATCGAATGGCGGCGACGTAGTCGGAAAAGATTGCTGGAGAAAAATCGGCGCGACGCGTCCGTTCTGGGCTAGGGAAGAGAGCCCCAGCTAGAATATCATACTTTCCACAGTCGGTGGTGTTGTATCGCCCCCGTTGAGCATCCGTGCTGTTGTAGCAGTCGCTGGCGAGCAGATTGAAGACAACCCCAGCTCCTATCAAGGCTGTGCCATACTCAATGTCGAATGAAAGGTTGATTCCAAATTCTTCTCGAGCTGCAATGTTCTGAAGGGCTGCGAGGAGATCTATTTGGAACCCAGCCAGTGTTGTGTTGAGCTGCGCTGAAGCGGGGCTTGTTTTCCACCTATCAGTGTCGGCCTGATACACCAGTGGCGGAAAACCTGCGGCGCCAACTCGGAGAGTCAAATTCATGTTTCGAAGGGTGCTGATGTCCGACGTCGTTACAGGTGGATCTTCTTGTGCTGCTGTTGCTGTAATCAGACATGCTGCCCCCAGCGCCAATGTCAATGTCAATGCTTTCCCCAGTGTTGTGAACGACAACGACGGCAGGACAACCATGGTTGTTGGTTGAATAGAGCTAAGCCTAGTAGAACAAGCAGCCGGAGGCTGATGCCCTCAACTGTCAAAAAATCCCAACTTTCCGGGCGCAGCCCGGAAAGTTGGCGGGGAGCCTGGAGAAAAGGAGGAGAGCTGGGAGAATTCGGATAGTTCGTGTTGGAGGTTAGTGCTCTGTTTGCAGGTTAGCTTTCCAGGAGTTTTCCACTAGCTTTCAGCTTTGACCCAACACCGTGATGGTTAGCTTTCCCAGTTCTCCAGCTAACTTTTATGGCAAGTTGGCTGAAGCAAGCAGTTGGTTTTGGGAAAAGAGCCCTATTTTTGGGTGTTTGCGAGCTATTTGAACAGGCAACGAGGTCTCCCAGTGAAGGCACTGGAGCTATGTGGAGCTCCCAGTGAAGGTACTGGAGCTACATAAGCTACTGGAGCTATTTGAAAGTGCTCGATACCTCTATTACTGGTGCTTTTCAAATACTGGTGCTTTTCAAATAGAGAAGAGAACCGATAACCAACACCAACAACAAACTTGGCTATTCCTGTTGCTTTTCAAACAGAGAAGAGAACAGATAACCAACACCAACAAGAAACTTAGTTGATACTAGCATTTTAGTACTATTCTGCCTGTACAGCAACGAAAATGAGTCAAACAACTAATGCATGTAGTAGTCAACCTCTTCGGGAGAAGAAATTGGGAGAAGCACCAACATCTAATGCCACAAAGAATGCTGCTATCAAGCTGTATAACAAATATCAACTATTCGAAAAGAGCCTATAATGGATCAGACGACTGCTACTTACATTGCGGAGGATAATTTACAGGCGCATCTTACCAAGTTCTGTTCTTGGCTTGCCAATATTAGCATTCCCCGTGGCTTTGACAAAATTGAGTTTCATTCATGGTCAACTCAAGAGCGTAGTAAATATCTGAAAGCATCAACCAAAGTTGAATATGCTGGGAAGGTTAAGGAAGTTTTGAGGGAAAAGTTTCCCAATCATCCTCATTGGAATGGTCACATCGGAGATGACAGCTCTTGGTGGTCCGTCATAAGAAAAGAGCTAGAAAAAGATGCTACAAGAACTCAAAATAATAATGAAGATGAAACGACAACACTGAGACCACTGTACCTTGAAAACTTACCTGGCTATCAACAGTTGAAGTGCCACACAACAACCAAACTCCAGAGCTATCAATGGCGATATATCAAAAGTGGATCTAAATGCAATCATTAAAAGCATGATCAAAGAGGATGATACGAGATCCGGATATACTGGTATCTATGAGCAGCGGGCTCAATTACTAATGACATGGCATGCAGTTGCTCGTGATGGAGAAGCCAAATTCAATTCCTATAGTGACTGGCTTTGGGACCCATACTTTAAAGTAGTGGATACCCAATGGATTGATATCAAAACTATCAACACATACTCCATGCCAATGATGCCACACAGATATAACTACAGAGTATGCTGGTACCATGCCATGAGTTGTTACTATCTCTTGAAGACGGCTTGTTTAGACATCCGGATGAGCTCGAACGTGCACAAAGGGTGTTTCCCAAGCTCACAAAATCAGTGATTCTTCTGTCACAAAGAAGCTTACTGGCACCATTCGGAAGTTCATTCCAGCCAAGGTATCAACTGAAGTTCGCAACAGCTTCTCTGCTAATCAATGCGAAAGGGAGCAATCAACTTCCTAGCTGCTCATTCAGCAATTGACTATTATGCATCAAATGTGCGATCAGGTCACTCATTTGTGAATCTTCTCAGGAGAGCTACATTGATCGGAATGCATTGGTTCTATCAATTTCAGCGGCAGAAGCTCTAAATGGCTACCAAGAATCTGTATACCCTTGCCCCTACACCCCTCCGAACTTTGAGTGTTTGGGATCTGAAATTGAAGAGAGTGGAATGATTGACAGATTCATTGACGAGTTGTACACAATCTCTGATCAGCTGCCACAATTTCAATCTGGAGGACATCTACGACCTTTTCTGCGCACAGTGACAGCAGTGCTCATTATGTCAATTCCTGCTCTGGTAGATGACTTTGGTGTTACGAACAAAGTATATAGAAAGCTTTTTCAAGCAGCCCAAAGAGCTAAGCTTTTCGATGCAAACAATCCAGACAAATGGGTTCATCCTGGGGCCGTTCTAGAAGGCTGGAGACGCATATCCAAGACAACTTTAATTTGGAGAATGATTTTGATGCTATGCCTCAAGAAGTAGCAACAGCTACCATGCTAGATCGAGTTGGTTCTCAGTTAGCTCAAATTGAAAAGCAAACAAAGGAGCTGAATCAAGCACTAGCAATGCAAAGGCAAACTAGCATGCAAAAACAACAACTTGAAGGAATCCTTCTATCGATTCAAAGGAACAACAAGCAGTGAAAGCAATGGTATCAGAACAAGGAGAAGTTGTCATTTATCAAAACCCCACCACGACAAAGAAGACAATTTGCTCAGACAGCTAGCATTCACAATTTGCTCAGACAGCTAGCATTTCTCGCGTATCATTGCCACCCACTGCAGCACCACTGTCACAGCCATTGCCAGCACCCGCTGCAGCACCACACCAGCAGCAGCACCGCACCCGCCACTACCCCCCCAAGTTGCACGATCACAATTCAGCCAGCTCCAGAATCAACACAGCAGCAACAATTCAGCCAGCTTCCAGAATCAACACAGCAGCAACAAGACTAATACCCATATCACAATCACACTGCTACCTGCCAATCCCCAAATTACACGATCTCAGTTCAACCAGCTTCCACAATCAATACAGCAGCACAACAACCAATGCACAACAGCAGCAGCAACCAATACAACAACAACAGCTACAAGCGCCAATATCAGCACAGTGACAACAGCAAAATCAACCAAAAGATGCCAATGCACTTCTGATGCGCAATCGTCAAGCTCAGAATAATTCCTCATCATGCAAAGGAATTTTGCTTGAACGACTTCTCTTGGATATAACTCCAATTAAGTGGAACGCAATCTGCCAAATTCCAATACCTGCAACAATGAAAGGAGAAAACGAGGCAAAGTGTATTCATGCTTTACGATTGGCTAAGATTGCTGGATCAGAAGAACATAAACTTGCTTTGAGTCCGACTGGAATTGGTGACAAGAGCAAAAGAAAAGAAGCGGCGAGCGGGATAGCACATGCTTGCATGGAGACGATGCTGAAGTTAGAAATAGAAGTTGGCTTGAAACCAGTTGGTAGCACAATTTCATCAAGGCAAAAGGGCACGGTGGTGGCACTCGGAA